CGAGCTGTCCTGTCAGTCCAGCCCCTCCTAGATGGGGGCGGATGGGGGGAAGTGAGAGTCCCACCTACCCCACATCTTCCAGACTTCTCGGTTTTATTTCCCCCCCGCCCTCAGGGAGTTGTGGAAACCAGCCCAGGACTGGCTGCTCTGTGGTCTCTGGAGTCCTCAGCTGGAGCAGCTCTGTGAACGTCTGTTCTGGCTTTGCAGGTGGAAGGCAAGAGCTCCATCATCCTCACCTTCAGGCAGCTGCTGGCGGAGGAAGGCCCCTGGGGCCTGACCAAAGGCCTCTCCGCCCGCATCATCTCGGCCACGCCCTCCACCATCGTCATCGTGGTGGGCTACGAGACCCTGAAGAAGCTGAGCCTGCGCCCCGAGCTGGTGGACTCCCGACACTGGTAGGGGCAGCTGCTGGAGAGAAACCTCCCCTGGGAGCCCCCGGGGCTGGAAGCTCGGGAGGAGAGGCACGGGTCGTCTCCTCTGGCCCTGGCTGCTCTCCCCGAGGCAGAAGCAAGAGCAGCTGCAGTTCCCCTCCTTGGGTTTGGTTCTAACACAACGTTCTGCTGCTGCTCCTGCCAAGAGCCACCAGGACGGGCCCTCTGGCCACGCCTCTCCCTGGGACACTTTGCCCAAGAGCAGCCGTCCTGGCAGGTTCCGAATTCCCTCTTTTTTTGTTTTTTTAAATTAAAGACTTACTGGCTGGAGCAAAAAGCCAGTTTATTCTTTAAATTATTTGAATCTTTGCCAAACTTCAAAGGCAGGGAGCGGAGGAGGCGGCGGCAGAGCCCTCTGGTGGGGTGGTTGCTGGCTGCAGCCCTGGGGGAGCAGCTGGAAGAGCAGAGCAGACCAGGAGGTTTCTCCCATCACCCACGTGTATATACATGCAGACACGAGATGAGAGCGACCTGGAAGCACTGGCGACCTCACTGCATTTTGGATAGCTCTGTACATACCTTTTTTTGTACCTTCTTGGAGATCCTTCCCTCCCGTGCTGCGGCTGAGGAGCGGAGCTGAGGGCAACGCTGACCCCTAACCCAGCTTTTTAACCTCTTGTTATTTAATTTGTCTTTGTTTTAGAGAAGCTTATTCCAGTCTCGGGGTGGGGGGGACTGAGGGGTTGTCCTGTGGCCTTGTTCAGTGTGAGTGTCCATGCTGCATGTCCAGGGTACCTGTGGTTTTAGTCCAAGCCTGGATGTGTCGTCGTGCTCGAGGAGGCACCGAGTGCAGCCTGAGCTCCGACAGGCTCTGAGGTGGGGAAGGGAAAAACCCTCGTGCTGGCTTTTGATCCAGTTCAAACCTGACTGGCATGTTCATATTGAATGGGAAGTAATGGTTTGCTGATCCCACGAGTGGGGTTCCTGCTCCTCCTGTCTGGGAAGGGTGAGGACGATCCCTTGCGCGCTCTCGCTGGATCAAAACCTGGAGTCTGTGGTTTCTACCAGCTGAAAACTGGTGTGGCCCATGGAGTGGCGGCTCCTGAGGAGGAGGAGGAGGAGGAGGAGGGAAGGGTGGACTGGCTGGCTGCACTCTGACAGTGACAGTGTTGGAGATCAGCCTCTGGTGCCACCAGCCCACGCGTGGTGCTCGTGGCTGTGTCCAGAAGGTGACACTCACACCTCCACGCAACGGGCCTGCTGCTGGGTGGCCTCTGGTCTGTCAGGAGGGATTCCTGGTGGTCCTGCTGGTCCTGCTGAGCCACCAGGCCCCTGGCTGCGTTCTCACCCAGGGGTGGCTCCTGTCTCCACCCTGACATCCGAGCTCAGCCCAGAGGTGCCACAGGTTCTGCTGGAGGTGGAGCAAGTGCAGACAGACGCTGCTGAAGTTGGAGAGACTGCTGCTGGGTGGCCTCTGGTCTGTCAGGAGGGATTCCTGGTGGTCCTGCTGGTCCTGCTGAGCCACCAGGCCCCTGGCTGCGTTCTCACCCAGGGGTGGCTCCTGTCTCCACCCTGACATCCGAGCTCAGCCCAGAGGTGCCACAGGTTCTGCTGGAGGTGGAGCAAGTGCAGACAGACGCTGCTGAAGTTGGAGAGACTTTGATGTCTAAGAACT